GCAAGTGCAGCCAATGGGGAGGAATGCTGGATGTTTCAGTCCAACAACATCTGGAGGTCCATGCTTTCCCACCCTCATATATTCCTCTCAATTTTTTAGTGTTTTCCCCTCCCAATATAACATAAAGAGACAATTATGGCTGCAATCCCACATCCATCTTCCAGGAAAGACTTTCTGAGTATACAAGCCCAGGATTGCTCAATAAATCACAGAATATAATAGTAATTCATGATCCAAATTTTAATTGTGATATAGAGCAGTACAAAATATGGAAGGAACATGAGTTATCTATACAGTACTGACATTTTATTATATCTGAAACAATTCTATCCCACGCTAAACTAAAAGATGTTGGATTGGAATTAACCATCCATGGCCAAAACAACTAACAATTAGACTCTTTCTAGATTTAGATATGAAAAATAAGCAAGAGTAGCAGAAAAAATAATGAGCTTTAAAGACAAAAGAATTCTTAGGTTGATGTAGAGCTAAATGAGCAAAATGCTGTCCATGTCTGGAACCTTCCCAGGCTTCTCGCCTTCCTGTTATGATGCTGTGTATCATTATCATTCCACAACCAACAAAAAAAGGGCAGGAGAGATCCTTACAGAATAATATAATTGTATAGAAGGGATCCCAAGGGTAACTGATTCCTATACACTGACATTTGATTCTGAACCCTAATATCTGTTGGAGTTTTCACAACCTTGCATGCTGCCTTAGTAAGTTTTGTTCGGAGATACCTTTCTGGGTTGGGGTGGGTATCAATCTATCTAGCACCAACCAATAGCTGCTTCCCTGTCTCTAATTTAAAGAGAGCCCCACCTCTCTGCTCTGGTTTTCTCCCCTCTCTGTACTCTGTCAGCAATCAGTGAGTCTTTTGAGGCTTGTTGCTAAAAAGCAATCATGTTTGTCATTTTGCCATTTAAACTATTCAGCTGTAAGTAAATGCAACCTTCTATACTTACAGGAGTTATTGAAAGTTCCAGTTAATGAGAAAATAGGTGCTCTATTCTGAGGAGCCTGAAGTTATTTCGCTCTGAGAATACATGCACTTCTTCTGTGCAGCTAAACGATGTAGGCATCCTTCAGTTTTGAGAGACTATGGTCTAGTGTGGCTGAGAAGGTCAGTTCAAGAGGGACAATCCCTTCCACACTGAAGACAAATACAATCTGTCCCCTGTCCCCTGTCCAGCTCCCTGATATTGTTGATTTCGGGACTGCCTCTTTGCCTCGGCCTGCTGAACAAGTGCCTCTTCAAATTGGGAGAGGCCGTGATGCACCGCCTGCCTCCAGGCTGAACGCTCAGATGTCAAAGTTTCCCATCTGTTCAGGTCCATTCCTAAGGCCTTCAGGTCTCACTTGCAGATATCCTTGTATCACAGCTGTGGTCTCCCTCTGGGGCACTTTCCCTGCACTAATTCTCCATACAGGAGATCTTTTGGAATCCGACCGTCAGCCATTCTCATGACATGTCGGAGCCAACGTAGATGTCGCTGTTTCAGTAATGTATACATGCTCAAACTTCCAGTTCGTTCTAGGACTACTCTATTTGGAACTCTGTCCTGCCAGGTGGGACCAAAAATGTGTCAGAGACAACGCATATGGAATGTGTTCAGCTTCCTCTCCTGCCATGCACAAAGAGTACAGGACTCACTACAGTACAGGAGTGTACTCAGGACACAGGCTTTATGGACCTGGATCTTGGTATATGCTGTCAGCTTCTTATTAAGTCATACTAGACTCTGTCCAGAGGGGCAGGGTAAAAGTCAAATAATAAATAAATAAAATAAATAAATACTCTCTTTGTGAGTCTAGAGAACATGGTGGCTGCTTTGCCAATGTGTTTATCCATCTCGACATCTAGAGAGAGGGTGTCAGAGATCGTTGAACCAAGGTACACGAAATCATGAACAACCTCCAATTCTTGTGTAGAGATGGTAATAGAGGGAGGCGAGTCCACGCCCTGGCCCATGACTTGTGTTTTCTTCAGGCTGATTGTTAGTCCAAAATTTTGGCAGGCCTTACTAAAACAATTCATAAGTTGTTGGAACTCTTGATGAAAAGGGGAAACAACAGCTGCAGCATTGGTGAAGAGGAAGTCCCAGATGCATTTCAGCTGGACTTTGGTCTTTGCTCTCAATCTAGAGATATTAAAAAGCTTTCCATCTGATCTAGTGCGGAGATAGACACCTTCTGTTGCGGTTCCAAAGGCGTGCTTCAGCATGACAACAAAAAAGATCCCAAACAGAGTCGGCGCGAGGACAGTTCAGATGTCAAAGGGATCTGATATTGAGTCATCAAAAACTACAGTGCCCTTCATATCCTCATGAAAGGACCTGATAATGTTAAGGAGTCGAGGTGGACATCCAATCTTGGTAGGTATTTAAAAATGACTGTCCCTGCGAACCAAATCAAAGGCCTTTGTAAGATTTCTGAAGGCCACAAAGAGTGGCTGTTGTTGTTCCCTACATTTCTCCTGCAACTGTCTGAGGCAAAATACCATGCCCATGGTGGATCTATTAGCTTGAAATCCACACTGTGATTCTGTATAGACTCTGTCTGCAAGCACCTGGAACCTCTTCAGCAGAACACAGGCAAGCAGCTTCCCTACAACGCTGAGAAGAGAGATGCCACGGTAGTTATTGCAGTCGCCCCTGTCGCCTTTGTTCTTGTACAATGTGACAATGTTTGCATCCTCCATGTCCTGTGGTGCTCCACCTTCCCTCCAGCAAAGACAAAATATTTTATACAGCTCAGTGGTGATGGTCTCTTTACAGCACTTCAACAGGGATGTTATCCTTCCCAGGTGCCTTGCTGGAGGTGAAGGAATCCAAGGCTGCATTTATTTCTGCTAAAGTTGGTTCGCTGTCCAGCTCTTCCAAAGACAGGCAGGCACTCAATGTTATTTAATGCTTCTTCGGTTACTACATTCTCTCTGGAATATAGCTCAGAGTAGTGCTGCACCCAGCATTCCATCTGCTGTGCTCGGTCCTGGATGATCATGCCTGTAGCAGACTTTGAAGGAGCAGATTTCTTCTGTATTGGACCTAAGGCCTGCTTGATACCGTCATACATTCCCTTGATGTTACCTGTGTCCGCTACTATCTTTATCTGAAAGCACAGCTGAAGCAAATAATCATTAGAACATCTCATGGCAGTCTGTTGGACTACGAGCAACTTGAAGAGCCTGCAAGATGTAACATTTAAAAATTATATGGGCCACAAGAGGTTGAGAGGGGCTTTTCTAGTGAAACCTATTTTTGTTGTTGTTGATAAATCCTATTCCTTTGGATAATGTTTTTTAAATTACTATTACTACGGCTAAATTATACATGCAGTTTAGCCTCTTTGGCCACATGCCTCCACTTTAGCTTACCTTAAGAGTGTGGTCTTTGAGTTGCTGGCAAATCTGAAAAGTATCCCTCAGGCCCACTGAGTTCACCCACTATTGTGTTGGAGAGATAATGTGGTATCCATTTTCAAAGATTTGAATAACTGCCATGTAGAAGATGGAAAAAAAATTGTTTCCTGCTGCCAGAAGATGGTACATGAATCAATGGATTCAAAATACAAGAAAGGAAATATAAATTAAACATCAAGAAGAACAATAAAATCTGACAATAAAATATGTTCATCAGAAGAACTGGGCACTTAGCAACTGCTGGGCTCTTCTTGGTTCAAAGAAGAACTTTGGCAAAACTTATAGCCATTCACTATTGAAAATTATGTTGACAGTGTTATGTTGGCATAAAAATGCAGTACGTTTCTAGCCACTGCATTTTTTTAAAAAAAGGAAAATCAGTTTATTTTTCATAACAAAATTTCCTAATATGCTACACTACAAAAAAGTACCCTAATTTGAAGATGTCATGTGTTTTACAGATTAGTCCTAGTACAGTTTAAAAAATCCTGGAAACAAGGCATCAGTGATGCTGTTTTGGAACTAGTGACATATATAGTTTGCTGCTATGTGTTGAATAAACTGAATTTTCCAATTCTTCAAAGGCAGCCCTATATGCAATATAGTACAATAGTCAAGAGTGGATGTTGCTAGAGTACAGCTGACAGTGGCTAAACTGTCTATCATGTGGCTGGATGAACACCTACACTATATCCCACCCACCCACCTCCCCATGACATCTTATCAACACAGTGATAGGATTTTGTCTATGGGCTGCACCCTCTTTTTTATTTTTGGTAGTGGAATGATAGTGATACACAGCATCAGTTTGCTTAGAAGAAGCCATTTTGGTTCTTGGATGAAGAGCAGGATTCAGGTTGTCATCACCTGTTTGTTTGTTTGTTTGTGGTTTTGATTGCTTGTTAAAGGAAACCATGGCAGCTCTACTAGGAGACTCGGAAACTTAAGTCTATGTGTGCTGATGTCATTACCCACCAGAGCCTCTAGCCAGCGGAGAGAAGGTCCATTCCAACTAGTCTGGCTGGCAGGCTTCTACACACTAAGAGCCTTGTTTCAGGGGGCCTTACAAAGCATCTCTTGACGAGGCAAACAAGTTGGTCTTTGTAAATAAAAGTTCAGGCATTTGCGTAATGAAGTCACTTTCCAAAAACTGTACTGAATGATATCTTTTTTTTTTAAATTAACAGTCATGACGATGAAAGGTGGGGGCTGTGGAAAGTTGAGGAAGCTGCTTAACTGCATTAAAACTGCACATTTTTCATGGACACTCTGAAAGTAGCCATTTCTTTCTCAGAAGAAAAGACACTGGAACATAAAGATTTGCTTCTTGTTATTTTCCTATACCATTGATAGCTAATAATTTCTTTTAATCCTTTATTTCCGATGAAACAGGAGGATATTAAATAACATTCTGAGAGTGGAGTGTCTCAAGAAGCTCCTTATTAAAAAAAAATCCCAACTGTGAGACATAAGGACCAGGGATGGGAGGGGGACGTCTCATTTCAGTGCACAAATGGCAAAGTTTAAGTGGGTGGCTCTAAAGCAGGAAGGTGAAAAGGGAGTGATGTTCATGAAAACATTTTTTAAAAAAAGGCTTGAGTTCAACAGAGGCTCAGTCTGTATCCTGACGGAGTGAAGATAAGGTGGGCAGCGAGAGCTCCTGGTGCTTTCCTGGAATACAATCTGTATTTTGACACTCTCTGTTGAAGCACTGCCCATCTGTACGCTATTCAGCCAGAGCCTCTGGGGAGAAAGAAGAGCTACAGGCAGCGAAAAGGAGTGTGAGAAAAAGAGAAAGCAAGGGGCTCTTTTCACAAGGATCGGCTTCAGAACTGCCTGAGAACTGCCACATCTGGAAGCTGAAACTTAAAATAACTGAGGCGCCACTAAAACCAGGAGGGGAGGGGGTTAGATTAAAGTACTGTAGAAGCAAAAACAAGTACTACGAAGCTGCAAGATCACTGTTGGATGTGAGGAAGGGAGGAAATGGCTTTGATCTTGGCCTGGCCCCTAAAGTTTCCTATATTCTTTTTGTTGGGATATTTCGCCTTAAGCTCGGCTTCAAGGGCAGCCAACGTTTTTCATTTTGACACTGAAGGGAGCTCAGCGGCTGGCAGCCAAGAAGACACCCTTATCAGAGGGCAGCAACAATCTATAACTTTTGGAAGTTGGCCACATGTTGTTGAGGTATAGTAGTTCTACTGTCTGTTGACTTTTTCCTTTGTATTTTTAATGTTATTTTTAAAGTCATTGTATGGTTTGAGCTCATTACAGTTCGCTGGATGTTGTAAAATAGACGTGTGGAATTTTGAGAATTTTAAGAAATGTCAAGACAGACTAGAAAATACAAGGAGAGCAGGATTTGCTTTCCAAAAATACACATCTCCTGCTACTTTGAATAAACTGCAGTATTATGAATTCATGTTTGATTGCTTGGTTTGCATGCAGGCGTGCCTGAAGGGGACTGTTTCTTACTGATGAGACAGGTCACTGAAAACGTCTAGCAGCCTTGTTAGTATGATAAGGCCTTTAGATTTCTAGCAGGATTTCAGAGGGATGGGTGTTTTATTAGGCCTTTTTAGGAGTTGTGTATGAATGGGAGAAATAGACGGCGTTCACAAAACCTGTATTGCGTTTTAGTGTTTCTGACTGTAATGATGAGCTAGAGCTTGGGCGAGTTACATTTTTGGAGCTGCAACTCTCACAACCAGCACGACCACTAGCCATTGATCCCAAAAAAGTAACATCGCCAAGCTCTGTGGTGAACGAAGCTGGGCATATTCACTTAAATCAGACACCAGGATGCTGTGGTTCTGCACTGTTCTGTGCAATTGTCAGTAGCCATCTATGCTGATAATCACTCAGCTAACACTGGAATGTAGGAAAGTTTAACACATTTATGAGAAAGACATTGGTGTCCTCAGGCATATCTAGATTCTCAGCACACTCCTGACTTCCTTTCAAATCAATATTGCATAAGGCATCTCTGCCTAACTCTCTCATTCAGCAATCCCTTAAAGACATAGGAGATCTCATTATGCCTATAGCTATTCCTCTGGAATCTCAATCCACTTCTATAAAGAAAAGACCACTTTGTTCAGGCAAAGGAATACATGTACAGGGTTGCCCACTCTATTAATATGAATTAGGAACCATGCACCTACAGAAGCCCTGTCTGCACAGGCCAATGCCCATAGGATCTTTGATTTGAAATACCAGTGTGGAGTGTTCCCCTCATTTGAAAGGATTATGTGAAGAAAGGCCTGTTGATTTAAACAGGATGTACCAGTCGGCAATAGCGTGGAAAAAAAATTCAGCCTATAGTTCCAGCATACAATCTATATGAAGTCACACACCCTTTGTTTATTTACTTCTAAGAGGATTCAACAGGACAAATGAGAGTACACAGGACTGGAGTCTCAGAAAACAAGTTTTTTGAAGGTGAAAACAAAATAAAAATAAAAAAGTAAAACAAGACCAAAATGTGCTGGCACCTTAAAGACTAACTGTTAAACAATTTTATGTGAACTCTTGTGTCTGATGAAGTGGACTTGTCCACGAAAGCTCACATAAAAACATTAAAAGCAAGTCTTTAAGGTGCCAATACATTCTGGTATTTTGTCACTTTTCATTTTTATTTTGTTTTCACCTGTAATGCGTGCACAGACCAACACAGCTACCAATTCTACAACTACAAGTTTTTTGAAAACATATCCAGGAAAACATAGGCAGTGTTTTTCTTTACAGAAGAATATTTACAGTAGATATAATCAATGGGAGATATCGGGGGGGGCGGGGAAGGATAAGCAGGCAGGCCGATATTGTTAGTATAGTCATAAGGATATGTTCCCTTGACATTTTGGATACTTGTGATTTACTGATTAGTTTGAAATGGTTGAATCTGTAATTGAGAAATCAGAGAGGAAAAGAATGGAAGGCTACACAGAGGGGGTGAAGAAAGGTGTCTCCTGTGACAGAGATGCAGTGGAGGAGGCAAAGCTAGATGAAGAAGGTCATGGGAAAGGAGCGGGTGGGTGCCTTGGCAGGAAAATAAGCCTGGAAAATAAGCAGAGATTAGCACAGCATCATCAATAGCCATATATATTATCACATTCCACTTACTAACACTATTATATTTAATACCGTGTTTCCCCGAAAATAAGACAGGGTCCTATATTAATTTTTGCTCCAAAAAAACATTAGGGCTTGTTTTCAGGGATGTTTTATTTTTTTTCATATACAACAATTTATGTTTATTCAAATACAGTAGTGTCATCTTCTTCTGGTTGCTGCACAATGGTGAAGGGAGGGGTTTCACTTAACTGGGGCTTATTTTGTGGGTAGGGCTTATATTACGAGCATCCCGAAAAATCATGCTAGGGCTTATTCTCAGGTTAGGTCTGATTTTCGGGAAAATAGACAGCAGTATCTAAATCGAACTGCCTGATAAGAGCCTTGATTTGGTGTCTTATTTTCGGGAAAACAGGGTAGATAAATAGACTGCAGTATCTAAATCGAATTGCCTGATAAGAGCCTTGATTTGGCTGAGGATACAGACTGAGCCTCTGTTGAACTCAAGTTTTTTTTAACCCCAGTTTTCAGCAATGAGTGCATTTTGTCCTTCTGCTAAAATTTTAATGTCCCATATGTTGACCTCAATAGTTAACTATGGTGAAAGAGAGAAAAAACACAGCTGAAATATGATTAAACAGAAACATGATCCACTTGAAATTCTGTTGTGCCTAAATACCTCATTTGTTTCTCATATCTAGGTGGGAAGCAAATGTAGAAGAGGCAGCCAGGATACAGTGCATGATGTGAAATGGAAACTCCCTGTTTATACATTTGTTTGAACAAATTATTAGAAAGCAAGATCTGCATCTGTTGTTGGGCAAATAAAACGTCTGCTTTATAAGCATGGTGTGTGCATCATAATCTAGCCAACCTGCACATTAGTGTATTGGCAACTATAGTGTACTGTCCATGTGAACGAAAAGAACAACACTTGGTGAAATATATGCTGAACAATGGATCTAATTTCCTCAAAACTGGAGAAGGGAGATGAATTTGTGTCCCAATCTTTTCCATGAGCGATAAATCCCATGCTTAGCTCTGCAGGATTGTGACCAATATAGGATTGAAAAGAGCATGAGAAGAGATTTTCTCAGTCTACACAGAACAACCATGGTAGCTGATTTCAAGATTAATGTCAGATCTCTCTTTTTTTGCACATTTTTATTTTGGGAAGGTTCTTACCAGGAATGGGGGACGTGGTGGTGCTGTGGGCTAAACCGCAGAAGCCTGTGCTGCAGGGTCAGAAGACCAGCAGTCGTAAGATCAAATCCATGCGACGGAGTGAGTGCCCGTCGCTTGTCCCAGCTCCCGCCAACCTAGCGGTTCAAAAACATGCAAATGCAAGTAGATTAATAGGGACCACCTCGGTGGGAAGGTAACAGCGTTCCGTGTCTAAGTCGCACTGGCCATGTGACCACGGAAACTGTCTTCGGACAAAACGCTAGCTCTATGGCTTGGGAACGGGGATGAGCACCGCCCCCTAGAGTCGAACACGACTGGACAAAAAATTGTCAAGGGGAACCTTTACCTTTACCTTACCAGGAACATTTCCTTTAAGAAGTGCAGCTTCAGCCATGCAAAAAACATTTTCTGCCAGTATTTGCATTGATTCAAAAGCATTTCCCATATTGTAGCTTAGCCAGAGGCTATATCTGGGTCAACTTAAATCATATCCACAGGAACATCACAGCATAGGTAAGGCCACAGTTTTACATGATGGAAAGAACAAAGCGCATTGTCTAACCATAATTAAGTACCGGCAGGTCCCTGTTTTCATTTCAATAGGGAAGATTCTCTCATCATAGCCTCTATTCTACTATTATGCCATCAATGATGCTAAATTTAGTGGACACAGGAATGTAGCCCACAAGTCCCAAGGACAATTCCCTCCCCCGCAACCCAATTTGCAATCTGCATTATAATCACATTAGGAGAAGCCTTTATCTCACCCCCATCAATTCATTTGGTGGGAAGATGGGCGAGAGCCTTCTCTGTTCCTCCTCCAAGACTTTGGAACTCCTTCCCACAAAATAAATGTCCTTTCTCTTCAGGCAAGCATTTGCTGAGTGACTGGCTGCCTGAGTGGGTTTTTTTTTAAAAAATTGGACCATACTGCACTGAATGCGTTTTGGTCCTGCTTATAATTTTAAGTATAGGATTCATTTGATCCTTTTAGGTATTTGTATACTCATGGTTGTTGGCTTTTATAGGGTCTTTTAATAATGTAAGTCATTGTGGATCTTTTTAAGAAGAATGGCAGGGTAAAGATATTTTAAGTAAATAAATAAATGAGGGCACCAAGGACATGCTCATATTTCTGTGGGTCACAAACAGAGATGGGGATATTAGTATTCGTATACAAATATGAATATCCCCACACAGCTGGACCTAACAAGGGTCCGGCCTCCAGGATCAGACTGTCCAATCACGTGTCCTGCTGTGGCACTACTTCCTCTTGTCCTTCCAATGGCGCCCAGAGCTCTGCTCTCCTCCCGCTCGGCTGGCCACTCCAGGCAGGGGGTGGGAGGACGGGTCTCCCTTCATGGCTGCTGAGTGGCCAGCTGAGCGGGAGGAGAGTGGCTCTGCAGCAGGATGCATGAGTGGAAAGTCTGGTCCTGAGGACTGGACCCTCGTTAAGTCCAGCTGCACGGAAATAGTCATATCCATATATGAATATGAATATCCCTATCTCTAGACAAACTATCTAGCAGACAGAATGTAAGCCCTCTTATTTACTGAATTAATCAACAAAGAAAGAAAAGTGGCACTGGTAGATAAATAGCTCTTCTGTCAGAGAGGTTGTTTGGAGCTGTTGTGATTGAATATTTCAGATTGTGATTAACTACCCCATATGGTGAGCTATCAAATAGTAGTCTGCCTCTGTGATTAGGCTTTGTATTGACTCCACCTACCCAAGCTGATCATTTTGTCTTCCTGGACAAGAACTATACAGTATAAAGGTAAAGGTAAAGGTTCCCCTTGACAATTTTTGTCCAGTCGTGTTCGACTCTAAGAGGCGGTGCTCATCCCCGTTTCCAAGCCATAGAGCCAGCATTTTGTCCGAAGACAATCTTCCGTGGTCACATGGCCAGTGCGACTTAGACACGGAACGG